ATATTTAAAAATATATATACCTGACACACTAATGTTATTTATAACTGTTTCTTAACTCAATGTACTAGGACAAAAAAGAATCCTGGGTATGGGCAATACATGCCTTCCCTTCCACCAGTTTCCGAAGCTCAGAGTATTTATACAAATCTGAAGAATTTAAAATGTACAAAGAAATATCCTCTAACATTTGAAATGCCTGGATAGAACAGTACAATGGAGACGAAAATAGCCATGTTTTCCTCAGGGTAACCATATTTTAAGTCAGTATAGAGTTGTGTATGAAAAAGGCAATAACCATGAGAAAGATGGAAACTGACTTATGAAGAACAATTAAGAAAGCTGAAAAGATTTGCATGGAAAACAGATATTTGAAGAAACATAATAGTTTCAACGAATATTTACAGCATTACTATGTCAAAGGACTAGAGTTTCTCATATTGGTGCACAAAGAAAAAACAAAGCAAAACAGAAGAAAACCCTAAAGGTTATCATGGAAAAGTAAAATCTTAGAGGTGTAATAATTTTTACAAGTATTTACAGTAAAGTAAAATGCTGCTGCAGATGAAAAAATATAAAACAGTGAGCATATTCTTCATAGCTATAAGGTTAACTGTAATATTACAGTTGCCAAAGATTTTCTGTAAATACTTAGTCAGCGGCTGAATTACCATCTCTTACAGAATAAAAGAATCCCACATAGAGAAGGAAGCTGGGTAAAATATTCTTTTAAGTATCTTTGCTTATCTGGCTACTCCAGTATCATCTTCTGACACTTGTTTTTGCCTATTTTTCTCATTAGTTGTCTGTCTACACTGGTTGTAGCTTTGTTAGTTGAATGCTTGCTAGATACATCAGTTATAGTTGAGGCTTGACATTTCACTTTCTTCAATGACTTCTATACTTGAGTTTTAGATTTAAATACAGTCAAATATACAAAATTGTTTATGAACTGTGATTCTTGTATTTTAAGAACTTCTTCCCTATTTTGAGTTAAGATAGTATCCTCTAATTTCCTCTCTTTTAGTTTGCTTTTCACATTTAGCCTTTAAACTTAACTATTTTTTAGAGTGGTATGAGGTAGAGATCTACCACTTATCCCCCTTTTGGGTAATCAATTGCCCTGGAACTATTTATGAATATAGCGTTCTTCTCAGTGATTTATAATGACATGTCTGTCTTATACAAAGATTCCACTACTGTTTGGGAGCTTCTGGGTTTACTGATCTGTCCTAGTTATGTTTATCCTGGGCAATAGCACTCTGGTTTAATTACTGCACTTAATAAATGTTGCTACATTTAGCAAGACTATATTTATCACCTTGACTTGATTATTCTTGGCTCTTTAAGTCTTGCTTGTAAATTTTAGGATCAGCAAGCCACATTTAACAATTAAATCCTGTCAGAATTCTGCCTGAAATGACATTGAATTTGTAAGCACATTAAGGGTAAACTGCTATCATCTTTCAGTCTCACATTCATTTAAAGTATGATTACTCATTTTGCTGGTTATTTTAACTTCCTTCAATGTATTTTTATAATATTATCCATAAGACCTGATATAGTTTAACTGTCATTCTTAGGCATTTTACTGTTTTTCCTGTTGTTGCGGCTATTGCAATTATAATTTTTTTAAAACTAGATTTTCTAATTGGGTAGCTGAATGAGGACCACTCATCAAATGTTTAAAACTGATGATGGAGTGCATTTTTTATGTTATCTTTTATTTTAAATCTTTAGGTTATAATGTTTTTGGTAGTGGAAGTACCCATCTATTATTCTTTGTTTGATAAGCCCTTTTTATCATAAATCTGTCAGATCTTGTGGAATAATTTTTTCTATATCTATTAGAATGACATAGTTTTTTAATTAAGAAAATATTTGAAATGCTTAATCATTCATGCCACCTTAATCATTATTATGTTCTTATACATCACTGTACTCAATTTGCTGATATTTATTAAGGATTTCTGCTCCTAGGTTTGTAAGTTGCAATATTTCTTTCTTTTGCTACCTTTGTCTGGTTTGGGTATCAAGATTATACCAACATTTCTTTTTTTTTTTTTTTCTACTATTCAAAACAGAGTAGAAAAAAAGGAAAGCCCCAAATAGGAATTAACTGTTGCTTTAAGAGTATATAAAGTTACCTATAAAACCATTTGGCATGGAGAATTTCATAAACTTATGGGTTATACTATCTATAAATTTATCTACATCATTTATGGACATATTATCTATTGGATATATGAATTACCATCTAATTTGAATAAAGTAACTCATCAAATAAATAACTGACTTAAACGAGTATTGTTAAAAATTATAGTGAGAAAAATACTAAAAATGCAAGTACTAGCAAATAACAACATTAAAAAGAGCATAACTGACACTGCTACCACTAGTATAAGCTCTTTACTGACTATACCATGAGGTAAAAACATTGAAATCTGGCCAAAAAAGATTAATTAAGGAAGCTATTTGAAATATGGGTTTATACTTTCTATCACTGCTAATGAAACTCTTCTAAAGTATATTATCATTCAATAAGATATTGGCAGTGAAGTCATCATGATTAGCAAGACATTTAAAAATTCTTTATAACGTTTTTATTTAAATCCTAAAATATTTATAGAAAGATTAGTACATATAGTGTGTTAGTAGGTACATACACACACATACATATGCACACCCAACTGCATCCAAGGGTATGTGCTCAAGTTTTCCTTGTTTGATGTGTAAGCAGGCAGATTTTAAGAAACTGCCAATCCATACCATGGCAGAATGGTTTCATAAAAGAAAATCTGATCTTGTTACTCTCAGTCTAGTAGCTTTCTACGACTCCAAGAAAAGTCGAAATTTCATCCCTACTTACTTCTTTAGCTTCATCTGTCATCATTCTTCCCCTCGCCCTCTATATCTCAAATCACATTAAACTAAATAATTTCTACCCTCAAGTAAGACTAGAATCACATGACAAAAAGTCATCCAAAAATTAAAATTATCAAGAAGACTACTTATAGATTTATATCCACTATCACTAGTCTTTCCACCCTCAGGATTTTCACATATTTTTGCACTTTACTTAGACTATTATAAAAATTTAAATAATTACATGACTTGTTTTCTATGTATACTTGGATCTGCCTTGCCACTTAACTTCATAGAATCAAAGATCTAAACACTGGAAATTTACTTTTAAAATGCCATCTATTCGAACCAGTCATCTGATGCTTTTCAATACCCCAATGATGAAGCAATCAGGGACTCATTCCTTCTTTCCTTAAAAACTTCTTTAGAAATAGTCTTTATTATCTAGACCTGAAATCTGTTTCTCTCTAACCTCTAGCTAGTCATCCTAATTCTACTCATTGGACCATTCACAGAAAATTCAGTCCCATGTTAGGGTAACAGCCATACAAATATTTATAGATCACTATCACATTACTTCTAAGGCTTCTTCTGTGGTGGTAAGGAATAGGAGAGAGTATGGTGAGACTAGTATTTGAGTATCTTTCATGAGTTTGTTACTAAATATTTAATTCTCACATTGCTCCAGTGGGTCCATTATTATTATGGCCAAATTACAATGGAAGAAATTAAAGGTCTGATAAGTAACATTACCTATTACTTAAGTTATCTATCTGTAACTTAAGTTAGTAACAGAGCTGGGATTTCAACCACAAGCCTGTCACATACCAAAGCCTATGTTCTAGTCTCTTCAGAAATCCCCCAAATGAGGGAGACATAAGGGAATATAAGGCATGGAAAAGCAAATAAAAAAAATTGTAAAATTCCTCTGTTTTCTGATTTCCAAAATTCTATGTACTGATATTTTTTTCCTTAAGCCTTCAAGAGGTGTCCAACCCTTTGATGTGAGGATTTTTTTTTTTGCTTTTTGCTTATCTGTGGTGGCAGATACCATAAAAATTACACAGGGAACCACCCCCCCAACACCAGTTCCTGCTTTTTAAAGCTCAGCAGCTATCGTTAGTGTATTTTATGTGTAGCCCAACACAATTCTTCTTCTTCCAATGCAGTCCAGGGAAGCCAAAATGTTGGACACCCATGTGATATCATAGTTATCTTTGACATTTCTTTCTCTGTCTTATAACCTATTATCTTAAAATTTGTCAGAAATTGTCACATAAATGCTTGCAACCTAATACTAGGGAATGAAAAAGGAAAAATTATTCCCATATCTCAGCCTCTCTAAATTTTAATCTGATTTACACACTGAAACAACTAACTCTTCAAACACTAACTAGTATATTCTTCTTAAGAGACCCAAACTAACATCATTGCTTTCTGGAATTAAATTTAGTGCTTTTTTATTATGGCTTCAAAAACTGACAATACGATTCCTAACCCATATTAACAAAAGCTATCTCAATTGTCCTTTGCCCGGATAAACACTTAAGTCCTCACACACACTTAAAAGCCTCTTCTCGCCTTTCCTCTGTGAAGTTATGGTTCTCTTTTAATTAAAGTACAACATGGTCTTCATTGCTCAGGCTCCTTATGACAAATATGTCTCCATACAGTTAGTTACATGATAACATTATATTTGTCACACATATTCCATTTCCTCTGTTCCCAGTTACATCATAAACTGGAAGATAAATCATCTACTTTTTTCCTCACCTAAGTACAAAAGAAAAACTAAACAAGCAAGTGCTTAATTAATGTTTTCAGCTGTCCACTAAAAAAACAGTTATTTCTTATAAACATCTCTTTATATCCTTTATTTTTAAGCTGTTTATTAGGATTTGTTCATCATAAACTTTATTGCAAAAGGAGTTGAAATCAACTCAAATTTCCTCTTTAATGAACAAAGATGCAAATACGAAAGCTGTAAATTTGTATTTCTCTCTAGACCATATTACATGAACAAATTAAAATTCATATTACATCCAAAATAAATTTCCTCATGAATATAAAAAGTTGCAAATATACATTTAAGGATATACAACATAAAATTATATATTGCATGCACACAAAAATCTTACCTTGCTGAGTATTTTGTTCTTGCATTCGATTCACAGTGAGGTCTAAGGGGCCTTCCTGCTCTTCCTGAAGGGAGTTTTCTGCTTGATTCATTTGGATACTTTTACATACTATACTTGGTCCAATTGAACCATTTCTATTCTCTTGAGTTTTACCACTTTTTGAAATGTACTCAATCGCAAATTGACGTATCATCTTTTTCATTAATTCCTGAGCAACTAGGGGAATGTTAGGATCACAGTTCTGAGGAAGATCTAGGGAAGAAATAAATATAATAATCATTTTAAAAAGAGAAATGCAAATTTTACCAACATTTTAATTTATTTTTATTACAAATTAATGATTTCAGAAGTCTTTTAGCATCAGTCCATAACTTCCACTGTTTGCTGGGAATTAGCAATAGAAGCTTTGTAGATTTAATTAGTTTTATAATAATATATCAACCAAAATGTAGCATATTTAATTATTTTGTATGATTAAACATCCTCTGGTCCCAAACTAAAATACAGATAAAGAATTATACACAGAAGCTGAACAATTTATTCTCAAGAGTTCTAATATTCATTCAAATGTATTTTATTAAGATATTAAAACAGTATGTGAACATAAATTGTATGAATAACCAATTTTTATCCTAATATACAAAGTGCATGCATTAACTAGGAAAACACTGTAAATTCTTATAATTCTATATCCATTAAGTTCTTCAATTCTGTAAAATGTGCATCTCCTATGAATCCTGAATGTCATCATCAAGGATTTTTTATTTCCTTAATTTTTTATATAGAAAAATTTTGATCATAAAGAGAAAATGAAAAAACAGTATGATGATACAGTTTCCACTAATATTCAAGAAATGTTACTGGTCTGCCAAATTTGCTGTCCTTTTGCTTTATTTTTATTTGTAGAACCATCGAAATTGCAGAATAATCACAATTTACTCCTAAATATTTCAGCATGGATATCCTAAGATAATTCTGTACAATGAGAATATCATTGAGAGTTTTACCCAAAATATTCTGATCAAGTACAACTACCATAAAGGACAGACATAATTAGATCCATATCATGTTACTAGGGCTCTACCTTAGAATTGAATTTAGAGCGAAGTTTAAAGCACAATACATAGTGCTACTCTGTTTTATTCACCAACTCACTTTTTGTCTCTTTATATTATATTGGGGAATAAGTAAGTCCATGTGTGAGACCAAAAAACTTGGCAAAAGAGATGGAGAAAGACAGACAGACAGACAGACAGAATGCTTCTCAGCTGCTGATTGGTTAGTGAGCCTCCTAAATCACCTGCACAAGTTGTCATAACTACAAAAAAGATAAGTAATTTAAGATTTAGATGTAGGTCAGGAATTGTAAAATCAACTTTTTACAAGGATCAAGCTAGTAGTAAATATTTGCCCAGAAGAATGCTGCCATCTGGCAATGGGGTTTACTGCCCCCTATTAGAAAGGAACACTTATTTTTTCCCTTAATTCATCATTTTCCAAAGTTAACTAATTTACAAAGCCCTATGTGGCATCTGCTTCAAGATGGTCCTCAATAATTACTGCCTCTTGATAAAACATTGCTGTCCAATACCCCCTCATCCTCCATGTTGTATCATGGGTGGTCTGTGTGATCAACAGTGTATTGTGAAAGTATCTGTCACTTTGGAGATTATGTTATAAATGAATGAAGGTTTTATACTGGACACTGATGAACACTGATGCTCTTGGTTGGTGTTTTCTCTTTTGTCCCCCTTCACCTCTTTTGTTCCTTTCCCTCCCCCTTCCCTCTCTCTCCTTTTCTATCTCCTTCTCCCTTTCACTTGAGTGTCCCTTCATCTCTCTCTCTGTCATCACTCACTCTAGAGAAAGCCATAACTGTGAGCAGTCCCATGAGGTGGCTCACATGAAGAAAGATGGAAGCCTTCTGTAAGCAGCCAAATGTGTGAACTTGCAAGACATTCTACAGCAATCAAATCTCGTATGACCACAATCCAGATCACTTCTTGATTGTAGCCTTGTGAAAAAGTGAGCCAAAACCAACCAGCTGAGCAACTCTCAGATTCCTGACCCCAGAGAAAATTGAAATAATAAATGTCTGTTACTTGAAACTGCTGAATTTTGGAAGTAATTTGTTATAGAGTAGCAAATAATAAAGAGTTTGGTACATATTAGTGGGATGCTGCTGTAATAAAAACTGAAAATGTAGGTGTCACTTTTGAAACAGGATGTGGGCTTTGGGAATAGTATTAATGAAAGGCTGAAGTAACTTAAATAAGCTGTTAATAGAATACTCACAGCCTTTAAGAAGGCTGCAGAAGAACTAGAAAAATGAGGTAAGTATTATTGGAATTACGTAATGGCAGAAAGTTTCACAACACTGTTGTCTTCAGTAACTTGGGAAGTAGAAAATGTGCCCAATTAATTGGGTGATCTATCTAGGGAAATAGCTAAGCAAAGTGTGGAAGGTGGCCCCTGGTTTCTTCTTGCTAATTATAGTAAAGCGCAAAAAGGAAGAGATAAACTAAAGGAATAACTGTGATATGTTTTAGATGTTTGTCCCCTCTAAATATCATGTTGGCATGTGATTCTGAATATTGAAGGTGGGGTCTGATGGGATGTGATTGGATCATGGTCAATCCAACCCAACTGCCCCCATAGACTGTTCTTTTTGATAAACACAGAAATTGCCCTTTTTGGTCTTAAAAGGCCTAAAACTTATTTTATCTGAGTTCCTCCCTCAGAAAAGGACCTTCAGGCCTCTCAAAGAAAATATCAAAGAACTGAAACTCACCAGATGATGGCCCCACATCATGGATCCCTCATTCCCCATGATTGCTTCCTTGCCCCTTCCCTAATTCTTGTTTTCTTACAACTGCTATGTTTCTCCCCTGCTATATCAACTTCTAGTTTTAGTCACGCAGATGGATTTGAGACTGAGCGCCCCATCACCTTGGCTGCAGCTCCCAATTAAAGCCTTCTTCCTTGGCAATACTTGTTGTTTCAGTGATTGGCTTTCTGTGAAGCAAGCAGCAAGACCTACATCAAATTCCTGGTGCTTTGGTAACAATGCGGGTGGATCCCTCATGAATGATTTAGCACTATGCCTTCCGTGATAAGTGAGTTTTCCCTCAGTTCATGTGAGATCTAGTTGTTTAAAAGTCTGGGACCTCCTTTTTCTTTCTCTCTTGCCATGTGATATGCCAGCCTGTGCTTTGCCTTCCACCATGATTGTAATGTTTAAAAGTCTAGGACCTCCTTTCTCTTACTCTCTTGTCATGTGGTATGTCAGCTTCTGCTTTGCCTTCTGCCATGATTGTAAGCTTCCTGAGGACCTTACCAGAGTTGAGCAGATACTGGTGTCATGCTTGCACAGACTGCAAGAGCATGAGCTAATTAAACCTATTTTTTTTTTTGGGGGGGGGGTCTCTCTCTGTCACCCAGGCTGGAGTGCAGTGGTATCATCTTGGCTCACAACAACCTCCACCTCCTGGGCTCAAGTAATTATCATGTTTCGGCCTCCTGAGTAACTGGGATTACAGGCTTCTGACACCACGCTCAGCTAAGTTTTGTATTTTTAGTAGTAGTTGGGTTTTGTCATGTTGGCAAGGCCAGTCTGAAACTCCTGGCCTCAAGTGCTCTGTTTGTCTCAGCATAAGCCCAAAGTGCTGGACTTATAGGCAGGAGCCACGATGCCTCAGGTATTTCTTTTTTTCTTTTTCTTTTTGAGATGGAGTGTTGCTCTGTCACCCAGGCTGGGGTGCAATGGTACGATCTTGGGCCACTGCAATCTCTGCCTCCCAGGTTCAAACGATTTTCCTGTTTCAGCCTCCTGAAGAGCTGGGATTACAGGTGTGCACCACTGCACTCAGCTAATTTCTGAATTTTTAGTATAGATGAGGTTTCACCACATTGGCCAGGCTGAGATATTTGTCTTTTTTTCCCCTTTTCTTTCTTTCTTTTTTTTTTTTTTTTGAGACAGAGTCTTGCTCTGTTGCCCAGGCTGGAGTACAATGGGCAACAGATTGCAATGGTGCGATCGTGGCTCACTGCAACCTCTGCCTCCTGGGTTCAAGTGATTCTCCTGCCTCAGCCTCCCAAGTAGCTGGAATTACAGGTACCTGCCACCATGCCAAGATAAGTTTTGTATTTTTAGTACAGACAGGGTTTCGCCATGTTGGCCAGGCTGATCTTGAATTCCTGACCTCAAGTGGTCCATGTACCTCGGCCTCCCAAAGTGATAGGATTATAAGAATGAGCCATCATTCTGGGCCAAGATATTTCTTTATAGCAATGCAAGAGCAGCTTAATGCAGACCGTTAAATAAAGAGACAGCAGGTATTGATTGTTTTGAAAATTCTCAGTCTATATAAAGTGCAAATAATGCCAAAATAAAGAACTGATTGTTGAGCAAAGATTAAATTAGGAAAACAGCTAGAAAAATATACTTCACAAAGGGGACTTGTTTTCTTCCAAATCTGACACTTAATGTTGTGGGTCTCTTGTGAGTTGTTGTTGCTGTTTTGCAGGGTGGGAGGGGGGAAACGTAACTTCATTAAACAAAAGAACTCTGGGAATTAACCAAAGGCTTACAGCCATCAAGGAATGTCTATTCAAGAAAATCAGCTGGATCTCAGTAAGCACAGCAAGCTATATGGCATTTTAAACTGTACTATTCTTTTGAGCGGAAGCTGCAAGGTAAAACGAACAAACAAACAAATGCACTATTCTCATCCTTCCTCTTCAAGACATACAGAGCCCTCGTGGCAAACACTGAGAGTCTTATGATTCTAGACATATAAGGAAACCTCTGTTCAATCATTAACTGACCACTAAGCTAACTAGGTGAAGATCTCAATGGGCACAGAATACAAAGAATACTAACTTAACAGAATTAGTTTAGAAAAGTCACTAAACAAAGAATAACCATAATGACACAGCAAAAAAACACCTTAAGGTGGAACATAATCTGATTTCCAGTTGTCATATTGTATTATTTTTAAAGATTTAGTTTTTAAACAAAACACTATAGAACATGTAAAGCAATAAAAATGTACCACACATGGGGGAGAAAGTCAACAGATAACGTCTCTGAGAAAGCCCAGATATTGGACATAGCAGACAAAAAACTTTAAATCAGATATTTAAAGTATGTTCAAGAATGAAAGAACACTGTGTACAAACAACTAAAGCATGAGGACAACATTTCACCAAATAGGCAATTATATAAATAAATAGAAGTTATTTCTAACAAA